GTCCCCAAACCCAGGTTTCAAATGATGTAGGAGTGTGAACAGGAGACTCCTGTCATTGGAAAACAAATGCCTCGGACACCCCACGTGGAGCCTGCGCCTCTCCCAAGGAGAGCTGGCAATGGGGAGAAAACCACTGTCCGTCAGAATTAATAAAATTGATAAGATTTAGCTGGTGAGAGGTTTGGCACCGAGCAAATATATATTTAAAAAAAAAAAAAAAATTAAATATATTATTATTATTATTACAATTATTATTCTTATTCTTATTATTATTATTATGTTAAGTTATATTTTTATTTAGATTTATGTTTTTATGTTTTTTATGATTTGTAAATATAAATATGTATTGTTTTTGTTTGTTAAATATTTTTATGTTTATTTGGGAGATGTGGGATTATTTTATTTAACAGGAATATATAATTTATTTAATATATTTTGAATAAATATATATATATATGTTTTTGTTTTGTTTAATATTTGAAAATGGTATGGTTGTAATTTAGATGGTGTTTGGAATAATTTAGAATTATTATTAAGATTTGGAATATATAAAATTCTATTGGCTTGATAAAAAGATATTATATTATTATTGATATTATTATTGATAATTATTGTTTAAAATATATTAATAAATTATTATATATTTATAATTATAATTATTGTTTTTTAAACACCTTAAGTTTTATGGAATTTTATGAAAATTAGTATTATTTAATACGATATAAATATTTTAAAATTTAACAATGTTTATATTTTGCATTAAAACATTTTTAATAATTTAATAAGGTTATTCTTTTTTTATTTTATTGAATTTTTTATTCGCCGCTTGCAATCTAATTCTCGTTTTGGATACGGAGATTTGTTTAATGCCCTTATGGCGATCTCCATTATAATATTTACTAAATAATTTACATCGTTCTAATTCTATTTGCGCCACGACTAATATATTACGTGCGGACAACTCAAACAGGCTTTACGTATCCTGGATCTTTTATCCGATAACTAAATCCAAGAAAAGGAAATGGATCGCCTAACGACTAATTACACAGCTTCCAGAATTACTATCCAAAATCTTCTTGCTATCATTCAATAATTCGAAATCACTCATCAAATTTATATTAAAGGACATAATAAGGCTTTCCATCATCGCGAACAAGAAAAAAATATCAAAAAAAAATCGTTAAACGATTGGGATAATTTATATAAACCAATATTCTAATTATTCACATCAATAAATATTATTAACAATAATTCATATCCCCTCGATCCATATATTTATTTACAAATAATTTAGATAAATAACAATATGGTTATATCTAATTTATTTTTTATAAAATAATTGATTATAAACAAAATAGATTAAATATTAAAGAATGGATATAAACATATAAACTAATTATATTTTAAATATATATAATTTAAATATCAATAAATATTATGATTTTTATTATTAATATAAAATAATTAAATAATAATTAAAAGACATAAATTATATTATAAATCGAATAAAACAATTATATTTATATATTATTATTTTTTTTTATTAAAATTTCAATAACAAATATATTGTGTTGTTTTTTGTTTTTAGATATATATTAAACTAATATTTATTAATAATTAAATTAATTAAGGACTATTTAATGATTAGCCTATCATTGGTCAATATCTAAATAAATTAATTGGAATGATATATAATTGTTGATTATTTGTTGATGAATTAATATTTAGTTTTTAATTATTAATTTAATCATTAATATTATGATTTTTCGGATGAATGAATAGATAGTGTTTTATTGATAATTATGTTTAATCTATGGTATTTTTTTAAGGATATTATGATTGAATTTGGTTATGTGGAAAGGAAATAATATAAAATTGAAGATTTTGTTGGTAAGGTTATTTGGTGCTATATAATTTTATGGTTATGGTATTTGAATAATTGATATTTCTTGGTGAATTGATTTGGAAATGAAGATTTTAATAAATAAACTATATATAAATTACATATTTTTATTTTTAGATTAATTAATTTAAATAATCATAAAATTGAAGGATTTTATTATTAATTTTATATAATTAGAAATAAATATTTAAGAATAATATATTATATAATTTTAGGATATAAAAAATATAATACAATTTTGGAAAGGTGATTAATATATAATCTAAATTAGAAAGGATATATTCTAACTTGTATATGTTTCGAAATTATTATTATTTTTTTATATTAAAAATTTTATAGGAATATAATTGTTATTAAATATTCAATAATATATAATATTTATTAACATATAAAATTTTAATATATTTTAAGGGTCTAAATATATTCCGGGACGTTTTATATAGCTCGGGAGCATTAAGGCAAAACCCCCAATTTTGCACCTCTATAACATCATATAGCATCACCTTAATTTAATAATCATCATAATATATTAATCGATATATATCCCGCTCGCTAACTTTATCCAACGCTCGGGCATCACAATGTCTCAATTTAAAAATCCCATACGATACTCACCGACATTATGCCAATCCAATGCCTAGCCCACACCTATCCAATGTCTATCCGACATTATCTGCCATCTATTAACTCCCATCCAACACAAATCTAACGCTATCCAATGCCTATCTCATATCCATCCAACGTCCCTTACGATGCCCATCCAACGCTCGGAGTATCAAATAGCTTCATTTTTAAAATTCCATAAACAAACTATTTAATCGAGCCCATATTCTTAAATCCCTAAAATTTCCTCCCCCAGCGGAGTGCCCATCAAATATCAATAATTCCTAAATATATATTATAAAGCCCCGGCAACGCACAATATAAATCCATCATTCCTTAAAATAATAAATATATATAAATTTATTATTTTAAAATATATATAAAACAAAATATATTAATTAAATTATTTTTATTTATTAAAAACCATTTAAAAATATAATCCTCACAAAACCGCATTAAACCCTAATATAAACCCTAATAAATCCCTAATAAAACCATAATACAACCCTACTAAAACCCTAATAAAACCTCCTAATAGAACCCCTAAATAAAACCCTAATTAAACCCTAATAAAATCCTCGTAAAACCTTACCTAGGGCCGCCCGGACCACCCCGGAGCCTATCTAAGCTAAAACCCCAAAGCTTTCAATTATTAGAGAATTATTATAAGAATTAATATATTATAATATAATTAAATATTATTTAAACTTATTTAAATCCTAAAACCCAAATTTATTATAAATACATATTAATAATAATCATTTCGAGGAATATATATATATATATATAATTTATTTATTTTTAGAAATCCATATAAAAAAAATATATAATCAATTTATCGATATTATATTGATGGTATATGTTGTATTAGCGCTCCAATTGTTGGTGCGGTGCGATGGTGTTTCGGTGCTATTCCGCTTAAGGTGTCGCAATTCCGTCTTGATGGGTATGTTCTGTGTTGAAGTGCTATGCATCGTCTGTGGTTTGTGTACGCATCTCATGCCTGTCCTGATTTCGAATCAACAATATATGTGGTTTTGATTTGTTTTAAACTGATTTTTCCAATGTTTGTCTTTGTGTCGCAGCCTTCAGAGTCCAGGGCAGGCTTGAAGGTCGACTTGCCTCCTCCTCTGGAAATGTGATGGGGTGCAAGTCATCTTGCACTGCCACCAAGTCTCCATCGACTTTGGCACGAAGACACACCTGTCCAGCGGGCAGAACCCGCTGCAGGAGCGAAGCAACCCACGATGTTTGCTTTCAAAAAGATCGACAAATGGCGGGATCGCGAGATGGGAGAAACGACGCCGCAAGCGCTACAACCCCTTGCCCTCCAATAGTTCAGGCTATTTCTCACAAAACAAGATGTCATCAACTCTTAAACGCCACAGGTGCCACTGGCATCATTCACGCCCTCAATGACCCAAGTGCCATGTGCATTACCCAAATTCAGACGTGGCAAGCTGCAAACGTGTGAAAAGGCCATGCAACCAGTTGAGCGCCCATTTGGTGTTTCCGACAATAGGGAACCCTGTTCATTTTATGGTGGCCTCGTTTGGTGTCCTACCGAAGCCATCCCAAAAGAGGTTTGCAGTTTAAGGAACTCCTTGACCATAAAACAGGTTGGTTCAGCCGCCTCTTCCAACATGAGCTATCTGAATCTCCAAATCGAGAAGGTGCAAAATGGAATACCTCTGGAGGTTTCGCTTGAAAGGGTCGCCTTGGTTTCACGGGGGCTGCCTTCGTTTCACCTTGTCCCCGGCTTCGTTTCTACGGGCCGGCTTCACCCGAATACCTGTTGCGGAGTATTTCGGGGAGGCCTCACATGTTTGCGCCAAACATGTGATTCCCCTTCATGTTCAAGCAACATCCTGTGTGGGGAACTCAGCCAAAGCCATTTCACCCCGGCCGGCCAAGACTCAGCCGGGACACGTCTGCAGGCACAAAGTGGATACCAAGGCCTCCAGGGATTCTCAAAACCGGAGTATCTGTTTCGAGAACTCAGGCCGCTGGTTCGCGTGGCACACAGATTTACTCTCACTCACTCAACCTACTCTCACTAACTTACTCATATTGTGTCACATACACTCACCCACTCAACTTGCACTCACTTTCTCAACTCGCACATTCTCACTCAACTTACACTCACTTTGCAAGAAGCTAGGCATGTGATTCGGTCCTATGTTCCAGGAAGCTCTAAGATGTTTGCCACTATCCCCATCCCAGTTAGGGGGGGGTGGTCTTGAAATAGCTGGACACTGGACAGCAACAAAATGATTTCCCTTCCACCTTCAACGAACAACTCAAAGGGTACCAGCTCCCCCTCCCGCAAAAAAGAGGAATCAATCAACAAGTTGCTGTTTAGAGAGCCCTGGACTCAGCGTTCTCCCATCGCCTCGCCGGCATCGCCGGGACCGGTTGGCACCGGAGCCATGCCACAGCCGCCCGTCGTGGAGTCCGGCGCCCCCCTGCTGCACCTGCGAAACAGGCGGTCCCAAGGAAGAACTCCGCAAAATGGCTGCTATAGAGTTCTATAGGGGAATGAGAAACGGAATGACCCCGCAAACAAACCATTGCCTTGTGGTTTCCTTTAATCACCAGGTTCATTCCCAAAACCCTGGGAATGACCCTACTGAGCATCTGGTCTATTTGAAGTTGTCTCAAAGGGAGGAAGTGGGTGGGGAGGGTCTCCGATTCCACTTGTACGGGTGTGTGGGGGGGGGATTGGACATGTGTAAAATGTTCAGCTCGACCTTTGGGTTTCCCAAATATACATACCCGCACATACCGGCTGCTCTTCGTGTCTCCACATGGACATGGCAGTCATGCACAATTCAGCAAGAAAAGGAATCAACATTTCCACAAGTAATATGGCTTCATCCATCTCAACTGGTACGACAGTTTGTCAATCCACAGTGTCGAGGGCAGTAAGGATTTGTTTAATCTCGAAAGGAGGCTCCCATGTTCGGTCTTTCCCTATTTAGACACCAACTCAAGTTGACCACTAAACATCGCACAAGTTGTCAGCAGCAAGCTCTCACACAAACACATTATGCAAATGACACGAGTCAACATGGCCGAAGTTGTTCGGTCTTCGCACTTATCTGAACACAAGGGCACGTCCTGGGGGCTGCGTTTTCAGATTCCTGGGGGCTGCGCATTTCATCAAACACCGACCAAACAACTCACAAAAACAACCACCTCCCCCCCCCAAAAAAAAACACTGAAAAACAACTAGAAACAACAAAGCAAGCCCATCATCTTCATCTGCTCGTTCAAGGCCTGGTGTTGTTTTTGTTTGTTGCGGAGGCTGAAAACAAAAAACAAAAAACACCTGTTGTCATCTGCTTGTCCGAGACCTGTTTTTGTTTGGTTTTGGGAGGCTAAACACCAACAAAACAAATACATTGGTTGCATTGTCATATCATCATCTGCTCGTTCGAGACCTGGGGTTGGATAGAACTATCATTTCTACATAGACTCATTCTAATTCAAATTGCATTTAAACAAACAAGTTGTGATTGGATTAATTCCTTGTCAGTGATTGGATGCATTCTTTATCAAGTTATGCTTAAACTCTAAATTAATTGCAAAGTTCTATTGAAAAAAACATCTCCGTCTAGAGTCCAAGTGTAAGATGCAATTCGCAGTAGGATTCTGATCAAGTGTTTCTTTATTGGTTGGTGGAGATGTGAATTGAGCACAACAACCGCTACAAAAAAATGCGTTTTACTGTGTTTCTGACCATGGTATTGCTGGGGCTAGTAAGCAAAAACCACACTTTGGACCTCTAAATTCTTTCCTTATGACTTAATAGCTTTATCACTGAAATTAAGTAGCATAATTTCTATGTCAAAGTGGCAATTGGGTATTATACTTCAAAATAAATGCCACACAGGAACACAACATTTTCGGGACCGAACATTTACTTCCTTGTGAAAGCTATTTAATATGATTATCAAGTTCTACCTAATTTCTATGTCACAGTAAAAGGCATTTAAAAGGACGGCATCCAACCATTGTTTTTGAATTGGAATCTAAAAATGATAATTCTATTTCGAATGCTACGCAGGATTTCCTTTCCAATAGAATCGGCTTTGCAAATCAATAGACATTCAAACAACGTGTATTTAACGATTTTGGGACCTCGAAGCTATTGCTTATGAATTCTATTTAGTGTATGTATCAAGTTCAACTTAAATTCTAACTAAAACTAAGAATAATTAAACAAGGAGCGAGTCCAATAAGAGGAAACAAACGCAGCCCGCAGGAATCTGAAAAAAGGCAGCCCCCAGGAATCTGAAAAACGCAGGTTTCAGGAATCTGAAAAACGCAGCCCTCAGGACGACCCGCTCTCTATCTGAAAGTGGACAAACTTCTGCTGCACTGACCTCCAATGACCTTCCCTGCAAGACTCGACTCTGGCTCAATGCGAAGTGCTTCCAAAGTACCCACACATTGGCTTTCGCTGCTTGCAGTGTGTGTGTGTGTGCGTTTGTGTCTTTGTCTTTGTTGGTTTGCATGTTTGTTTTCTCACTCGCCCATCCCTGTTGCTGAAGGCTGCACCAGCACGGGCACCACGCTCACCTGACGGCAGGGCAATGGGCGCATGGAGTCATAGAGTTAGATTCGATTGAACGGAAGAACCGTGCTAATCAGGGGTTCCCCATGTAAGGAACTCATCTCTTCTTGTTTCTTTCTTAGGGGTGTCCCCTGTCTAGTGGGGTCCGGATTAATCGAAATCAAACTTGTGTCGTGGAACAGAGCTGGACAAATTACCCTGTCACATATTGCAAAGGTGAACCTTGGTGAGGAGGAAAGGAGGCGACTTACAGCGCGTGACTGGCACTGAGAGATGCTGACTAGCTTTCGTTCACCTTCTCAAGACGCGGGGAAGCTTCACATAAACCTTCTGGGCACCTCACAGCTCACCAATTCAAGTTGTTTGTTTGTATTGGACCGGTCATGACGCGGGAACGGATCCCCTCAATGTCTTAAAAAGTCTTTCCTTCCCGTGGTCTAATACAAACGATGTTGTCCGGGCAGATGTATCATAAGACGCTGACAGAATCTCAGAATCCAACAGTACTCAGCCAATGAAGCCTCTTGCATTGGGGTAAAGTTTGAAACGCCCAACAACGACATGTATGACTCAGTGGACTGAGAATAGCAACCTTAAATGAAAACCAATAATGTTTTTCAGTCAGGCCACGGTATGGTGGATTTCCAACAGTTCCAACAACAAGCGAAGCGCACAGGCCCCTTGGCGCAATGTGGGGTGACCTAATAAATAAGCCCCCCCCCAAAGAATGGGAGCCAGATTGGCCCCAGTTTGTTTTGTATTGGTGTAGTATTGGCTAGTACTGGTTTAGCAGTGTTTCGTGCTGCCCTAGTTTGTGCTTAGTATTGGTTTCTATTGGTTTCGTGTTGGTCTAATAGTATTTTGGACTTGTGGCCTCTCAATTGGGTACCCCTTTTTCGAATATACTATGGAGTGTTCGAGGTGGCACTGCACTACCTTTCAGAACATTTGTTGGCTGATCACTTTTGTAGACAAGGATATGAAGGGACATTGGACGCTTGGCGGATGGGGGTGTTGTTTGCGGACAAAAAAAACAGACAACCAATACGCTGACAATATTTTACGGATTAAGTCCTGGCTATTCTTCCGGGCAAGACCTTGTATTAGGTACCCCGTTTCATTTTGGGGGGTAGGCAATAACATCGGCAACACTTTTCTGCATTTAGTGCCCATGAATCGGGCACTGACATTAGCTGCATTCTGATGATCTTGGGTTAACCCTTGTCTCAGCAAAGTACCTGTTGGGGTCATGCTGGAAGAAGGTCCAGTAGGTGTTTCAAACACGGCAGCAGGGCAAACCACCCAACTGCAAATTTGCTCTGTGCTATTACCTGACACTGCTGAGCACAGGTCACCCTTGCGGATCAAGCATGCGCAGGCATTGGACAACCCTTCACATGCTATATACATGATGGCATCCCCTAGCGGGAAGCCAAGACGCTGCCGACTGAAGGATCCATGACCGCTGAATATCAAGCTGTCTTGACTATGGCTATGGTCAGAGCATCCGTCGACCCATGGATCCGATGCGTCGAGCCTCGTGGGGGTCAAGCCCTTCCTTTCTCGCTGCGTCCTCCATGAGCTGCTTGTGCTGGGGGTCGAAGAACCTCACCACACGCAGGGAAGAGAGGGTCCTTGGGGACAAAGTAAATGGCACAAGTCCTTTTGTGTGGGTAAGTACATAAAGGCTCCGGTGTGTTTTTTTGGAATCACATAGCTGGAAATCACGCCTGGGGGGTCCAGCTTTCTTTCTTTTTTTTGGAAATCACGCCCGGGGGGGCCCGGTGAGTTTTGATTGAAATCAAGCCTGGGGGGCCGCAGTGTTTTCTTTTTTGAAGTCACGCCATGGGGGGTCCCTTGTTCTTTTTTGTTGAAATCACGTCTGGGGTCCCGGTGCTTTTTTTGTCGCATTAATGCCTGTGGGCCGGGTGTTTTTTCTTTTGAATTCACGCCTTGGGGCCCCGCTTTGTTTGTTGAATTTCACGCCTGTGGCCCCGTGTGTTTGTTATTGTGAAATCACGCCTGGGGTCCTAGTGTTTTCTTTTTGTTACATCACACTTGTGATCTCTACTTTCACCGAACTACAAGGGGAAGAGGGTGCTTGGGGGGGGTGCTTTGTCCCTGTCAAGGTCCCTTGTGACTACATTAACTGGGCTGGTCAAAGTCACGGATCCCTTATCCTAGTTCATGAAATTCAGCGGGTCACCACTACAACAAGGGAAACCACTATAATCAGGTGTGAGGGTTAAGGTTTGGTTTCGAACAACCCGGTTTCGAACAACCCAGATTAAGGGGAAGGGGATGGCTAGGTCCTCCAGTTCCATTGATGCTGTCTTCACACAAGTTCACATTCCAGAAGGTATCCCCCTAATTACCCAAAGCCCAAGTTCAATGTGGTCAGGACACCTCGACAGTCTCCACGCAGCCAGTGGTGTGGACTCTTTTTCCAGCTGTGATGTGTGCTTTGTGGGGTTGACCCATGTTCAACAGAAAACTCCCGCAAAACACAAAAAGGCATGAAGGGAGCCGCTGAATGATTGTCTCGTGTTGGATGGGAGCCGCTCAACAACTGTCCAAGAGGGTCGCCACTGCCCCCAGAGCACTACAGCAGGTGAAAATCATGATATACAACCGCTATGCAACCATTCTACTCCCGTCCTGAGTGGATTCGCCAAAAGAGATGGACCGTTTGCCTCTGAAATCCTCGAAACGGAGGGCTGGGGATCTCCTTGCGACAGCCAAGCCGCTGCGCAGCGGTGCCGCGGCGCCCGTCGCCCCACCGGTGGGAAGCCACCACGTACCTCGAAAGGAGTCAGATGAAATGAGCCAAATGAGCCGAAAAGTTGAGGCGTTGATTGAACGAACGCATATTTACAACGGCAGACATCTCTTGTTTTGTTTCTGAAAAACATTGTGTATACTGGAGAATACCTAGACTTGAGCCAAATGAATGCTGCCGGGTTCTGCGGAAACCACGCCCACCTGCTCTCGCGCAACTATCTTCCCCGCACCCCTGGCCCCCCAACTTCAATGTTGTCAAAGAGCGCTGTGACATCTGAAACCAAAGGGCCTTCTTTCCGCAGGCCGCTAACAGGCCGCTACAAGTTTCCGGATCCTGGCAGTGTCAATGGGTATACCTCTTTCTTCACACACACACACCACACACTGTGGAACTATTTTTTGCAACCCAGCCCCTTACTGTGACAAGAGTGCAAGCCAGTACCGGAGTTCTCCAACCAGGTTGACGAGACATGCCTGCTGTGGATGGGCATAATCCTGCATCAGTTGGGATGGATGATGCCCTATGTGAATACCAGTGCAGCTGGCATAAACAATCTACGAGCTGGTGCATCTGGTCGATCCACAGTACCCACACAGTTGAAACCAATGTAACTAGAGTATTCAACCAGGAATGTGTCAATACTAGTGTCGTGTTGGTTTCTTCATATGCGGCGTGACCATGTTGGAGGTCCCCCGAAATTGACACATGTGCTGCGTTTGTGACATATTGGCATGGGATCAAATTAGCAGCCATGGTTCATACGGCCCGAAATCAATAGGCACAGGTTCAATATGCATGTCTGATAAACCAGAGGGACCCAACGATTTTGGACAGGGGGATGCTGGTTGGAAACCCCCGTCTGCAAACTTCACCTTCAAAAACAGGGTTCCGCGAAGGGTTTTGGCAAGGTCAGGAAATTCTTGGGCGAAGTTCTGCGAGGTTTCCAGCGCGGGCGGGGGGGGGGGAGTTCCCCGTGTGTGTCTTATTCTTTCCTTTACCGACCTGCCAACCAATGGCGGGCAGAAAACGTTGCTCTAATAACAAGTTCCACAACACTGTAAAACTGTAAGCCGCCGAAGCATCTTTCTGGCAACTTTAACGTGGAGTCAAAACATGATCGGCATCCACCAGTTCCTTCCCTACTCCAGGTTCTTGAATCCAACCATGCCAACTGCTTCCCAGTTTACAAAACGCTGTTCAAGTCCAAAGCCCGGCCAACTTCTTGAGCCTTTCTTTTGCAGGGTTGAACAACTTCTGCCGCGCCGCTCCAGCGGCCCGATCTCCAGGCTCATGGAGTCTAGAGCAATCCAAATCCTCAGCTCCAAAGTGCGTGGTAAATGGGCGCGTTGAACCGATGTTTAAACTGGCTTGAACAACACTTGTGTGTGTTTTTGTTATTGATATTGAGGCTGTTCTGAAAGTGAAAAGAAAAGAAGGCGACCCATTTTGGGAGTCCGGGTCTCCATATCTTGATACATACCCGTCGCTGCTGGGGCTAAAGCTTAACTGGCACTTGTCAGCTGCCTGCCCCTTTGGCAGGACGCGTGATCACGTCCTCCGGCTCGAAATCGAAATAGGGAGAGTCCCGGTGGAAGACCAACCTTGGGATGTCTCGGATAAAGCAAGCTGGATGGCGCTGGCACATTTGAACCAAACTAAAACGAGTGCAACCCATCCATTGTCAAAAACCGGCCCAAGGCCAACTATGCTAGGGATATGCAACTAGCCAACTTGGAAGGTGGCAGGGTTTTCCTTGGGGTGATTTCTTCCAGGTAGATTTAAACTCAGGAGAAAGGGAATCGCTGGGCATTCGTCTTGGAAGTGAATCGACCCTGCAAACTGGAGTTGGTCATTTGATGTCTGGATTTCTGGTGCCTTAAGGGGCCCGCAAAGATGGGAGTCCCCTAGCTCCTTTCACCCAGTTTCCCCTGACACTTTATGTGGGTGACCCATTGAGTTTGTTCTAAATGCTTTCGGATTTCGGATGCCACACGCGATAGTCCTGTGCAAGCGATGGGAACCCGTTGGGTGGCGTGAGCCATAAATCGGTCCCCCCTCCCTTCCCCGAGCTTGGAAGAGAAGAATGCTTGTAAGCCGTGAGGCAGGTATGCCGCAAATTTCCCTTGACAGAAAAACACTTGAATGATACCCCAGCTGCTCAGTGACCATGGTAGAAATGAACACCTGGGAGTATTTCCGGACCATTTTTGGAAATTCTCCCAACAACACTTCCGTCGTGCCCACCAAACTGGGATACCAGAAAACCGGGCGGGTCGGACCCGAGTCACGGCCCGGCTCCAGGAGGCTTGATCCATACCTCGTGGCCCGGAAAGCTGGACACAAACCATTCTTTTAGCACCCATTCCGAGAAACTGACGATTTAGCACCCATTGTTTGCATGTGAAAGAAAAGACCACACTCCCCAAGGAAGGGTCTCAGCTTGTGCTAAGCTTCGAGCCACTTTCCGACAACTTTGAGTGATCGAATTGCAACAACTCTTCGCACAAAACAGAAGCAGCAGGCAAAAGTTGCAACCCTGACACCACCCTCGAGTCGTTACTGTACATCTGGTGAACACAACAGTGGAACATGACCAAAGCGAGATCAGTTCTTTTTGGGACTGCGCAGCATGATGGCAACACGACGCTTTCCCTCTGCTTGACCAAAGGGGCTTCCTACCCTGTCACTTTGTCCCCAATACCCCGAGCCACCCCGAGTCGAGTGACCCGAAAGGTAGAATTGCAACCCTGTTTGAGGGGTTGATTCCATTTTTTGCGAGGACCAAACAAAACGGGAAACTTTCTTCCTAAGCTAAAACAAGTCCAATACCACCCACCCCCCCTCCCTGCCCGGCCTGGTCTTCGGCCACCCGGGCGCCGCGCCAGCGCCCCAGGCGCGCTGCCAGCGCGCCCAGGCGCGGAGAAAGGACCAAAGACCGGAAGAGGCGGTCGCACTTCCAGGCGTCCACCACCCTGCGGGTTTGGGGCGAGTTACGGGGAGGCAATGGCGGTTGAACATGGTTTAGACATGGCAACGGGTTGGCCCCACACTTGACAAGTGAACCACGCGAACGACATGAGGTCTTCCTAAACGGACTTTAACACAAAATCACAAACTTGTATTGGGGGGGGGGGGCAGTTTCGCCTAAGAGCGAATCACTGTTGGAGGGTCCCTTTCCTTTCGAGGTGTGACACGGAGGGGTCACCAATCTACCTTCAATGTCACCCGAAAGAAATTTCCAAAAAAGTGAGCAACGGACAGAATCAATTTCTTGTTCCCCAAAGGGACGCGGGCCATTGGGGGGCCCAAGTTCCGACAGGAGTTTAATGATGGAACGCCGGGAGCCTTCTGCCCATCGGTGCGTCGGGCGTGATCTTTCTAAGCGAAACCACGGGAAACCACCAGTTTTCCTGTTTCAAGACACACCAATGCCCGCTTGTGCAGGGAAAGCAAATCCTTGTTGACCTCGGCAAAACTTGGCGCTCCCCAACTTTCTAGGTATGTGTGAACATGAGGAAACCCCACAAAACAGACAATGGTGGCTTTCCTTTTGGCTTGCCTCGCAGCCAACCTTCCCAAAAAGCGGCGCATCCCCTGTGGCGCATGGCGACTGCAGACCGCGGCTTCGCCTCACCGTGGCCTGGCCGCTTTGGAACCTCCTCAGCTCCTTGGCCGAGGGCGCCTTGGAGGGTGCCGCGCCCAGGTCATAGTCCTAAGCACAAGCCAAGGCCCGTAGCCTGTCCAGGGCCCCGACAAGTCGCAGTTTGGGGGTGGGAACGTCGGTCAAACCACAATTTAGAGTTTTGCTTGGATACCTGCGTCGGGGGACTTAAGCCTTTAACAAACAAAAGCATTTGAAATCATTGCATGACCCATGAACCTCCTTTTGGCATGCGTTGGACATCTAAACATGAACATCGATCAACTTTCATCATCTACTGTAGTAAGGGGGGTGATCTTGGACACCTCCACCACGTTGAAATTCGGAAATGGTGCTACTCGCCAAGATGTTCGACGCCATTGATATCTACCATGGCTCAGACGACCCTGCTGAATCATATATTTTTCCATTTAGCCTACCCAAGCTGTTTATGCAGCCATCCCGCCAAGTGCCCAGGCATACGCGCTGTCCTGCTTTGCAAGACGGTTTCCGCTACCCCAAGCCACTACCCCTGAGGGAAAATGGGGCCTATTCAAATTGGTGGTGGCCTGGGATTGGCGTCGAAATCATCTTCGATTCTTTACTTTCAGGCTGAGGCCAAGCTTCTCTCCTTGAACGAGCTTTGCGTGTGCTCATGTGCATCTTGCTCTGCTTCTGCGCTCGACAATGTGCTCTCATGTCTCTTGCTCTGCATGTGCTCTCTCGCATTCTGCTCTGCATTTCCTCTCGTCTATCTTGCTGTGCGATGAGGCTAACGACTTTACCGGAAGAACCCTTCGCAATGCGTTTGGGGAAAACACAAGGTTTGCGGGACGTGGAGAACAAAGTTGTGCTACGATCATGTGTGAAAAAAATCGTATCCTTGTTTAGTCGTTATATATATTGCTCGACAAGGGCCTAACATCTACACCAATCCAGAAGGGTCAAAGGATCATTTAGCCCACCTCCAAGAAAAACAACATGCCCAAGGCACTTTCAGTTCAGGCGACAATTGACATCATGGTCATTTGAAGCCATTTTTGAGACCAAGTGCGATTTGGGGCATGCTTCAACTGACATGGCAACTGACAGAAGGCAACACAATTCCCAACCTTTGGCACCAACTCCGTGATGATCACAGGATAATATTGGTATCAGCTAGCCCCCCTATACCATATCCATTCCCCAGCCGTTCCTCAGCCATGGCGCGCCCTTCAGAATCGCCTCCAGCCGCACGTTTAAGGCATCACAAAGGTCTGGCGGCACCAGCTCCTCACAACAGTGTTATATATATATATGTATGTATAAATAGGTATATCTATGTATAATATACTACACATAATTATATGTATATATATATTGACATGTACTTTCACTTGCGAACCCGCAAATGATGGTCTTCTTCTCAAAAAATAAATAATAGTCAAACAGCTAAGAACCGCTGATTGAGAGCTGAGAAATGCCAAAGTCAACCATCAGGTGTGCGTACTCAGTCTCCCAGAATGGACGAATCGCAGAACAGAGCGAAGAAAGAACTCGATAAAGCAAAGAATCGAGGCCCTTCTTTGTCAAGATGGTCTCCAAACAAATCAGCATCACGCATCAACCTGTCAAATGACTCCGCCAAGAAGCAGTTGCCCAAAGCCTGCAAAAAAGAGAGAATGACGCAAACACAAAGTCAAGTGCATGTCTTTTTGTGAATGTCACTTTGAGGAGCTCGCTACTCGACTCCCTTGCTTGATTGGAACCGGCATACGTCAAGACTCAAGATAGGGTGATATCCACGAAACAAACAAGTTTTACCAGCGAAGCAAAAGCAAAGCACGACTGAGGTCTCTCCTACCTCAGCTTTTGGCCCCAAACGAAAAACTGTCTGATGCTGGTCCACGATATTTCGTGGCCCTCAAAGCTTTAAAGCACGGAAACCAAATCAAAGAGAGCCCAGTCTCCTCCAAGATGACGTAGCCCCTTTCCGAAAAGACCTCCGGGTCCATAGCGAAGCGTCAATCAACCGCAGCGCTGCCGTAACCATCGGAGCCCTTCCAGTCGCTTCTGGGAGGGCTGTCGGTCGCGAGCACTGCTCTTGCAAGGATTCCTTACAGTTGTCTAAACTCTCTATGACCATCCCCACCAGGCGGGATTCTTTAAAATGAAGATATTGAAGCCACGAGCAGCCATCTTGGCAAACTGCTGGAGCTTTCATGTACAACTCTGGCAGAAGGTTGGAGCATGCAACTGCTCGAGCATATTGCTCAAGTCCTTGTTGTTAAACAAGAAATGACTGTCAACATTTTGGACCATCCTTGAAGGGTGGCAACAAATGACACCAGGTTCTCAAAGGCGCACGCCTTTCTCACTTTGGTCAAAAGGGACGTGACAAAGGAAAGCCAACATTTTGGCCCCCTTAGTTTGACACGTACTCATGTCTTTCAATCTGACACAGCTTGAGACTTGGGCATTCAAGCTGCTGAAGCTAGAGAGGCACAATGGCACACTGACCTTGTGATGGAGTCCAAGCCTAGTGCTTCCAGTTACCAGTGTATTAGGTACCCAGCGGCAATCTCCTTTTGAGCGGTGTTTTGCAGTTGTGTGAGATACATGGACAATCCCTGCTTACCTACTATGCTGGTAACTGGGAGGCGCTACGTCGCAAATGTCACAAGACGGCCCCAGGGCTTGCAACAGCTCGTGCTACGTTGATTTGTCCGGCGTAAAGTGTGTGCCCGGCGCGCTGAGGCATTTCATGTGCCGGTGGAGAGTCTCGGCACGCCTGGATGAATGACCTTCGCGATGAAATGTTGATGCCACCCACCCACACATCCATGACATGCGTCATACACCCACAAAGACGCGCACGTAAAAAACAGTCAAACGCAACACTTCTGGTCGAAATGCAAAGGTAGCCAAGTCAGGACAGTATCAGTAAAGAAACATAAATTGAGACTCCCAGCTGAACAAAGGAATTCCGCCGGACCTATCTGGTGGGCATATACATATAACACGTATCTGATTTATTGTCTAGGCAAAGTGCTTTCCTCAAGGTGCATCACTCCATTTGCGACATTGATCCTCTGATGTTCTGAAATGCATGTTGCAGATTGTATAATTCGCAGTGGCTGTATTTTCGGTCTGCAGCTTGAGGCACAAAGAGGGACACTGCACAGCCTCAGCGGGCACACACACACACAGGCAATGACACACTCACTATCTCTCTCTTCTCTCTTTGTCTCTCACACCCACTCGCCCCGCCCACTTGCTCACACACACACACACACCCAAACACATACGAACACGTGAAGTGTTGAGCACAAGAGGGGGCCCCTTCAAAGTCCCAAGACTCTTTCAGGAACAGACCTGCTCTTGAGGCCTCGAGTGGAAGGCATCGCCAAGCCACCGCTCGCCCCAACTTCAAAGCGGACAGGGAGCTAAACTAATTGCAGCCTTGTGCCAAACGACAGGTGTTCGAAGGCAGACTTGCCGAAGATTTCTTGGCAAACAGTATTACCCTGCTGCTTGCCAAACATAGCAAACAATTTATTGCCACCATGTTGTGCATTTGGTGTTGTCCCCCTTCCCTGAATGTCCAACCTCTTGTGGAAAAGGCTACTCTCCCTTTTGGGCACTGAATAAGCTACGACCAAGCTCAGTGAAACCACCCTCGAGGAACGCTGCTCGCTCAGACAGCTCAGACGGCCTAGCTCAAGCCTGCGCGAGACTGGGAAGCCAGATTGCCTCGTTGGTATCCAAAAGCCACCCTTAAGAGAACGATTCCACAGAAGCTCAAGAAATGAGTCTCAAGATGTCCATGATGGCCTCTTGGTCCTCCCAACGCTGAATCGTGCCCCAGGAAAGAGGTCACGCTGAAAAACTCGGTCCCACATGTCCAGGCGCAATGTACTTGCAGGCCTGCGGCGTAGCAGGATCATTCCAACAGTGATATCATCGAACAATTCTAGCCCACCCTTACCGGAACCATATTTGGTGGTAGGCTCGATGATCACGAGGAACATCTCCCCGTTTCCCACTTCGATGGCCCGCGGACACAATCATCATGGCCCCCCCCACAACGCTACAAGACAATTTGCCATCCTTTTGGGGTCTGCGCTTCAAGACACGCCTACTAGAACAACCCCAGCCTGTGGGCGTCTGCTTCACCTTGGCCTTGGCCTTGACCTTGACACGCCTGGGCGTCGAGAGTTTTTGGCAAGCCTCCCCTTGGCATCATGTCGACTCCGGATCAATCAACATGCTAGACTAACAAAGGGGTGTCTCCGAAACAAATGAAGGGCCACATCTAAAATGGAACAGGCCCTTATTACTTTCCAGGGGTGCGATTTAGGTTTCCAGCAGAGCCTTCGTGAGCATTCAGCCTCTGGGCTGAAAGCAACACACATTGCACTGAACGCAGTGCACTTTTCAGTGGGTTAATGGGGTGCGGGTGTGGGGAAAGCTGATAGAAGTTCGCCAGTTCGCTGCCAACTTGGCCTTCGTGCAGCCTACGGCATGCACTTGCAGTAGCATGTCTCGACTGCTCAACGTGGAACTATTGAAAGGGACGATTCCATGTGCAGTGAAAAAAAAGAAGCAAGAAAGTCCCCCCACCAAAGTTGCTCACATGTTGGTGTTGGACTAGGAGGAATTGCCAACCTCTGCCACCAGTAAAAATGCCACGCAAAAGCCCAAATGAACCATCCAGAACTTTCATCAAGAGAACGCTGGATCGTCAGTCATGTGAAAAGCTGGCTTACAGCTGGCGTTCAAGACAATTCCTGCCGGTACCCAGGAAATAGGGTCTCCGAACCCGACAACGCAGAAGGGGAAACACGGATGCAGCTGCACGTGGATGTCTCGGCCGGATTCGGCCCCCGAATGGGCGGCCGCGCTTGGCGCTTGGTGCTGAAGGGCTGGGATCTGCCTCGACGGCTCGTGGGCTTCGGTGAGAACATCCTGGGAAAAACGCCTCCCCCAACGAGTGAGGAAGGAGATTCCTCTCATGGCTATTTCGGGGTTTGTTGGAGTGGGACTCCCATCTCTTTGCCAGGAAGTCCCTTGGTGTTTCGATCGAATCCCAAATCAACTCGTCGCCTTGAGGCGGGGTTCGCTCGGCTTCTAGACGGACATCCAAGGCGAGCTCGCGGACCATCCATCCAGGGTGAATCCGAAAATGCCCTGGAATCCCCTCCGGAACCCGCCCCGAACCACTCTGGAGCTTACAGTAGCTGGGCAAACACCCCATAGCTCTGAGCTGTTGGTGACTAAGGATTCCTTATTCAAACAAAACTTCATTTTCACCGCCCGCTGGGTGCGGTCGCTATCTGTAGCCCAGAATCCATTTCCGAACCGCGTTTCCGACCCACCAAGGAAACCATCAATTTTGGGGGTCCACGACCATTTTTGGTGGGTCCTGAACCCACCAAACATAAAGTGATTCAGAGGGGTGAAACCCACTGAACTAGTTCTTCTGACTCACCCTGACTTTTGGGGGAGATTGAGTGAGTACCTCATATGTGCCCCCCAAATTGTCTGAACAGCTCGAAGCGGAACCCTTTATGGGGTTAAGCTGGCCTCTGACGACACCCTGAACGAGCCGCGCCTTGCCGGCACTGCGAGGGCCTCGGCCCTTTTTCTCGCCTGCGGCAAGCAGGTCGGGGTTGGGTACCATTTTCAGGTTGGCGAAAGGGCAACCCCATTTGGCAAATGTATTGACCTGTTTCAAAACAAAAGAAGCCATGATGTGGCTTCCATTTGGTTTCCCACCATTGTCAATGTCTCTTTTTGCTGCCTTTGGCTTCCCTCTGGCACATGGAAAGGCAGCAAGCAGAAAGCCGCCCAAAAGGCTCAAATACGGTTGCTTCCCTCGTCACAGGAATGGCACCCAGTGCAGAACATGTAGAGCTTAAGCCACAACTAACGGATATGAAAAGACGTGTGGATTCTTTACTCCCGAAAAGGTAGGAACTTATAATGTTCGTGCCCATACTTCTTTTAACTTGGACGACGACAATTGCGCTTGGTATCTACACCTATCTGAGCAAATACTGTCATGTCCAATTCTCAAGAAAAGCTATGCGGGCCAAATATACATTTATAACTTGAGATAAGTAGCTTGAGAGAAGCACTCGACAGCGACCCCGCTACTAGCCAAGTGGGTGTTTCCCCCCCCCCCCCCAATAAATGGGAATTAAGCATATCTGCTTTCGAAGCTGCAACGTGGAATCTCACAATATCCGAGATTATTGAAGGGTGTTTTCAAATCCGTGAAAATCCAGCCATGTTAGGAGAAGCCTTGGCCACGCAGGCTTTGCCACCCAGCCCGAAACTGCATTGCATCCGAAATGGAAAATAGTGAAAACACAAGATCAAGAAACCGCTGGTTGCTTCTGAAAAAATATCACCAAGGAAGTTTAACAACAACTTCAGCAGTACTTGAACTATTTGAGTTAGCTCGATTGAAATCATGTGCTTGGGCTTCAGGAGTAGAAAAACAAGAAGACTGGGGAACAGAAGCGAGCTGAGAACGCAGCCCTGCGCATGAATTGCAAAGCAGCGCGCACTGCTTCGCAGCATAGGTGAACCCTCTTTGTACTTTGCACGGGTCGACTTTCAAACAACTCCTGCTGTCTGGTGTTTTGACTTCGCTCGCTGCGAGCTTTGAAGGGGGTCGGCATGCAAAATATCGTGGTGTGCTTTTTGGGTTTTTCACTTCGCTCACGCAACCCTCCTTCAAACACTGACGATGTTGTTGTTTTTCAGCTGGCACAACTGTCAAAATAAACCCTCTGCGGGCTTTGGCTGGGTCCACTTTTGAAGAGAAAGGGACAAAGCCAGACCAAAACACAGACAGACAGAGATAAAGAAAAGATGAAAATTATTCACATATACCAAAAGGCGCTAGAAGGACGAGGGCAAATAAGAACAAACAAACAGACAGCAAATAAACGAGACAAGAGAACATATAAAAAATAATAATAATAATAATAATAATAAAAAAACA